CTCAGCAAAAGTTGAATGGAATTTCATAGGACAAAAAAAAGGCACTTCTGTAGCCTGTGGTGTTCTCCCTGGTGAATATCAAAGTTTCTATGGCAAGCAGTGGAGGTGTGAGTGCTATTCAACGAAAAGGTTGCAAGAATTCTTCACAATAGAAAATGTTAGACACAGTAAGGGCTAGTCTACATTAGAGCTCTCCCATTGGCATAATAAAATCACCTCAAGGAGAGGCGGTAGCTATGTTGGCGGGAAAAGCTCTCCTGCCAACACACGATGTCCACACCAGCACTTAGATTGGTGTAACTTACATCGTTCCAGGGGTGGCTTATTCACACCCCTGAGCAACATAAGTTATACCTATGTAAGTGGTAGTGTGTTCAAGTCCTAAATTTCAGGGTTTCACCCAGTTCCCAGCCCTGGAAGCTGTTTATCTAACCAGGGCAATGTGGATCTGCTCTAAATAATTAACCATTGGAACAATTTACCAAGTGTCATGATGGATTCTCCATCACTGACAACTTTTTAATCAAGTTTGGATGTTTTTCTAAAAGATGTGGTCTACGTCGAGGAAATAGTTCAGGGAAGTTCCGTGGCCTGTGTTATACAAGAGGTCAGACTAGATGATCACAATGGTCCTTTCTGGCCTTGGAATCTATGAGGCGATGTTAAGTTGTTAACAGGAGCTGGACTGCCCCAAAATAGGAGACAGCACAAAGGTGGCCACCTCTGCCCCTCCACTCCATTCCTGTATAGAGTGGAGTAATGTAGAATCTGGCACCCTGTTTCTTTGCTGAGAATGTAGGGAAATGTTAGTGGTAATTTATGATGAATGCATCTATTTTTGTCTGGTGAGTTAATGAAAACAAACAGTATTGAGACACAGGAAAACAGCCAAAACAGCTTGGTGCACAATGCAGAATGTAATAATAACCTTTTCCAATGCAGGCATTTTATGCTGTTAATACATGAGCTGTTAGCAGCAGCACAGTAGCCTATGGCTCTGGAACCAAGTCAGAGAAGCTGCTTTACAGTCACAGATGTGTGCACAACCAAAGACTCATTGCATTCTGCTGAAGAGGTTGCTTAGATGTAGAAACCAGGTGGTAACTATGCTCTCAGATCAGCAAAGCATGGTGAGCTGGCAGCATTTGATTTGGAAATTACTTGACAGGTCACTTTGTGGAGTTTTTAGTTCTGAACTGATGATCTCTTAGACAGTCTTTATTTATCACAGTGTCTTCAAAGAGCCTATCCCTAGCTCAGAATGCCTTTAAAATATTTGTCACCTAAAGCAAAACAGTTACATAGGGCTGGTTTGTAATCCCACAGTCCAGACTGTGACTGTGTGAATCCCAGTCTCATACTTCCCCCTCTGAACCAGCTCCAGGCCTCTGGAGAACATGGGAGGTGGGGGAGGAGGAGAGGGTGAAGAAGAGCCATGGCTCCACCCACTCCCTACCCCTACTTGCCTACTGTGGGGGATTGGGAAGTAGCAGCCCAGTAACGACTTTCCTCCATGTGCAGGCTCCCGCAATAGAAAGCCTGCTCAGAGAAGTAAGGGGGCTTCTAATGTTCCGCTACTTTGCATGGTTGTGGAGAAAAGCTGAACACATGATCTGAGTATATCCTAAAAGCTCTCAAGGCAAATAAAAATGATCCATGATTATTGTTTTTAAAATCTCATGATTTTTAAACCAATCACATGATTTGGGAGGGGTCTGACTCATAATTTTTGAATGCTGGGGGTTGGCATTATTGCACCGTAGGCCCCTGCTGCCTCCCCTCTAGGGAATGCAAATTCTTTGCGGCAGCTCTTAGACTTTGTGAGCCTTAAGTGTGTGCATAAAATTAAGCACATGCTAAGAGCTTTGTTGACTAGGGATGGGATTACTCACAAACTTACAATTAAGCAAGAGCATAAGTGCTTTGGTAAATCAGGGTGATGATGCAGCCAAACCTATTTGGCTTAAAAGAACCTCTTTTGTTTTATGCTTTAAGAGATCTCCAGAGCTTTCTTGTGCTATTGCTGGAAATTCCATGCAAACAACTTTGCAGTAGAGGCACTACTGGAACACCATAGCAGACAGAGTTAACTCTAGATCTAACCCTTCTGCAGCTGAAGGGTAGGTAATCAGGCAGGGTTTCTAGTGAACTCATAAAGACCCATCAAGTGCTCAAAGTTAAAGCTGGAAGCTCTATAAAAGCAATTTATGGAAACCAGAAGTGGAGAGTTTCAGGTGTGGCAGGGAAAATGGGGGACTTAATCCAGTTCTGAGGGATTTCGATTAAAGAAGGTCTGGGCCTTAGGTTTGTACTCTGAACTGGCCTTCCATTTTGTCTGGTTGATTCATATAAAAAACCTTTATCGTGGTTACAGCCTCTGAACTCTAAAACCCAGGAATAAAACATGTTTGGGAAGGGGGCACTCGTGTAGAAGAACTTTGGCTTGTTATTGGATAGCTTGGTGCACAGTAGTAGTGAGAGGTCCATGAAAGACAATAAAACCAAAAGTTAACAGCTCTTTGATCCTCAGGGGCATTTTAGGTTCAGTTTTTATTTGACTTTGGGCAAAGGCTTCAGTTGGGTCTTAACTTACCTTGCGTGCCCATCCCTAATGGCAACTAAGATTGATGGTAACAAAAGTTGTTAAAGAGCATAATTAGAAAAGTAGAAAAACTGCACAGGACTTCTTGATGTCCATTCATTTTTACTAACTCGACCAGCTGCTGTACAAATTTCTAATGCTACTGAGTTCAATGAGCTCCAAAGTTAGCTTATTGACATATTGCTGCTTTAAAAACAAACTGTGATATGAATTCTGTGAGCAAGCAGTACTGTGTCCCAGTGAAGAGCGATGATAGCAGAAACCCCAGATAAACTACATATGAATCAAGAAGCAAAAGCAGGGAGAGGTCTTAATATCAAGACTTAATTGTCTGTCTGCATGACTGACAAATGGCTCTGTGTGTTTAACAAGTGAACCAGCAAACAGTGTCTCCTTTTTAGACTAAAATATCTCCATTTTTAGAGTCACTATAAAGCAGTTGAGTTAATTACTTACTGCTGTGGAAGATACTCTGTGTTACACCAGAGCCTGCACAAAAGCAATGTTATAACACTTGCTATCTCAATTATGCCACATTCTAGTACTAAATCCAGAGCTGTCAAATCTATTATATTTATTATTTGTAACAATGATGCCTAACTGTATCCAGTTAAAGAGAAAATCCTAAATTTAATAAACGCTTGCAACTTCTGCCTCATTATTCTGATATTTCTTCTGATTGCTTAGGTTTTATATGCTGGCAAGCAGCACTGTGCCATATTCTTTCTCTTTAAGGGAAGAGAAAGTAACAGAGGAGTTTGACTATTCACCTTGCTTGGTTGGAGCAAACAGACTCCTTTAGCACCACGACTATTTAAGAGCAATCCCAGCCCTATGCTCAATGCATTAGAGCGGTGATATTCAGACCTCAGTGGTTCCGGAGTCAAATTAGCGATGAACATTACCCAAAAGAGGCACATTAATGTGATTGGTTAACAGCACAATAAAAGCATCCCAATTGGTTGATAACTTTGATTAATAATTAAATCACAGTGTTTTAATATCATGTGCTGCAAAGAACTGCAGGAGACGCATTAAAGAGCCCCTTGCGGCTGCTCGCGAGCCTCAATCTGAGTATATCTGCATTACACTGTGTGGTTTTGCTAGCCACAGGCCCAATGATTTTTGAGCAAAAGGGACTTTTCTTTCTGTTTCACGAGCACCCAGATAGTGAGAGGTAGTGGACACCAAAACCTGCTTAAAGGCTCCAGACACTGCAAACCATCTTGCCAAGTGCTGTGAATTTGTTCCAGTAACACAAATTCAATAACAAGCAAATGTCATTTTTAAAAAACTCTTTTTTGAGAAGAATATTTTACACAGCTCTCCCCCTGAGCTATCCTCTCCTGTCTGCTCCATCTTGCATAGTTGAAGTGCCACATCCTGCCTTTCTCAGATAGGAGCACAGAGACTTGATGCAGGAGGAGGAATTAGAGGGACTCTATAGAACCCTCTTTACTCCTTCCCAAAAAGAACAGCACAGCTGCTATAGGTAACATTCAGGCAAAGATTTTCAAAAGTGACTAATGATTTTGTGTGCCTCCATTATTGATTGCCCAATTTCAGACATTGGTAAAGGGCCTAATTTTCAGAAGGCAGGTACTCACCATTTTCTGAAAATCAAGCCACTTAAGGTTGTCTCAAGTTGTGCCTTCAAAACCAAAGTGATCCAAAATCCATAGTCACATTTAAAAAACTTCAGTTTACCATATATGCCACTTTCCTGAACCATGAAAAGAATATTCTGGTCTCCTCCCTATGTTTACAATCTCCAGGAGTCCATTTCAACAGAGTCTGGGGAAAAAGATAATTGGGTTGGGCAGGACCTCAAAAAGAGTTGTTATCTCTCTGCATTGTGGCAACATTGGTACTCATCGTAAAGCAAATATCAGTATAAAATATAAGATTAAACAGAATGTACTTTTTGGTGTGATTGTTCAGAGCTCAGAAGTGTCAACATTTCAGGATTCAATGTAATTGTTTCTGTTACTGGCACAATGGGATGACACAGTGCTGTAAAAACTGCTTTTGCACAGGCTCCATTGTGGCAGAGAAAGTGTTCTCCACAGAAGGAAATGTAACCACTTCTGCTCTGTCATTTCTCAGGAGTGGTGAAATAGCAATGCTTTTCTCAAGCATTCAAAACAATACTGTTCAAAGTAACCACCTCAAATCTCTAGTGAGCAAAAAAACCCACAATCCTTCCGAAACAGAAAAGAACTGTTTCCACTATAGAAATAAAGGGGTTGAATAGATATCCTGTAATAAGTATTTCAACATTGACCTCAGGTATTATCTGATGACAATTTCATGCAGAACAGAGGCACTCTCTATTACATTTTTCTACTTTCTTTCCCGTGTGGTTTAGAAGAGAATATTCCATACACAGCATTCTGTAATGGTCATTTTAATTATTACAACAGCAAGCCACATGAAAATAGCACTACACACATAATTATACATGGTAACAATGCTTATTGAAGCACAGGAATAGAAACAATCAAAATACTTTTGTGCGATACATCTTGCCATAGCAAAAATCCTAGCAAAGCTCGAGGAAAGTCAAATAACTCTCTATGGCTACATAGAGAGCATGGCCAAGGAGAACCTGCTAGTTTACTCAAGTCAAGCTTTGAGCACTATGTCTGAGAAATATGAGCTGAAGATCTGCTTTTCTTCTGTCAGTAAGGAGCTGCATGTTGTAGGGTGACCAGATGTCCCGATTTTATAGGGACAGTCCTGATTTTTGGGTCTTTTTCTTATATAGGCTCCTATTACCCCCCACCCTCTGTCCCGATTTTTCACACTTGCTGACTGGTCACCCTAGCGTGTTGTCCCAGTGTGACTTTTCTCCACACGACTGAAACCACAAGGCTGTAGCTTGGTATTTTACCAGAAAGAAAGGCTCATGCTGCCCATGCCACACAAAGCAATTTAAAGCAGTTACATGGAAAAGAATACAAGTCAAATGTAAGTGTCAGATAATCCATTATAAAGCAGGCTGTTCCTTTGCAGTAGGACAATGGTGTCATTAAGTAATCTCTGCACCAGAAAAGTGCTGCTATGGATTAATAAGTGTGATACACTCTAACGGTCTGTAAAATGCTATGCTGTACAGTGAGACTGTCTAGCTTAGATGAGAAACAGGGAGGCTAAATAGGTGCACTAGTAAAGCTGAGAGGTGACCATGGGCGGTGATGGGCACTGGAGATAGAAAAGAGGAGCCTGGAAGTTCAAATGAAGTGTTCATCTTTTGACAGGGTGGGGTGAGATAGTAGGGGCAGGCAGAGATATGAGACTAATGGAAGAAGCCAGCGGTAGCGTTGATATTCGGGAGACAAGAGTATAAAGTTATAAGAGGGGATGTGAGGTCACCCAGGCATGGAGGATGTAGGGAGACAAAGAGATGACTCAGGAGAGGGAACATTAACAGAAAAACAGGAGAGGGGAGTGGAATGAGCTACAATGGGAGAAAGAAGACCTGCAGTTGAGGAGATAGGAGGAGAGAGAATAAAGAAGTTGGAGTTCTGTCTGTGAAGATGAATGTTCTTTACAGAATAAAGAAGGAGACAGTTCTATCATACATTCCTACTGGGTCAGAATTCCTCTGGCTCAGTCATTCCAGTAGTCTGTAAATGGCCAAATACACACCTCCCAAGGAGCTATTGTAGACACCTGGGACAGGCAGTCATCCCCAGTGCTGCCACTGAACCACAATTTTGCTTAACCTCGTGAATTTATCAGTTTGAATCAGGGTATAATTGTCCCTATCTCAGAGGGGTGTTGAGTTTCAACTAACCTTTGTAGTGATACTTGGACTGAAGGTCCTGTGGGAAAATAATTTCTTTCTTTCTTTTTTCCTCTCTTTCTATTTGGATACCCGGTCCCCTTTTACCCATTCCAATGCATCTCTCAATACAATTATTTTATATATAAACTCCAAATGTGAAATTCTGTCCGCACTGAAGTCAATGGTGAAGTCCCATTGACTTCAAAGGAGCCAGAATTTCACTTTAGGTTTCTAATCATACTGCTGCCTACTTTCTCCTGGGTGAATCCTCTCTGTTTCTCTCTCTCTAGCACAGGTGCCCCTGTGGGGGCAATAGCAATACAGTTTGTCCCCTTATTCCTTCACAGTGGTAGGTATACACTCCAATATATAGGCCCTGCTGCAGCAGAGCACTTAGGCATTGAAATCAATGGGACTACTCACGTGGTTAGCTACACATGTGCTGAAGTCTTTAGGACCAGGATCTAAATCACCATGTTATTTAATACAATAATCTGATAACTAAAAGAGAAGTAGTGTTACATTTCTCTGAATATCTGAACAGAAGATTGTTTCTTCAGTCCTCATGAAAGCAATTTTCTTCTTCTTGCTGTACAGGCATGCTAAGTATCAAGTGTTCAGCCCAAAAGAGACAGTTAAAACAGGGACATATTTCTCTTTGTTCATTGCTCTGTAGACCTTGGTTTTAATTAACATCAGTTTGTTATCTTCATTATTGCACACTAAAGAGTTGGATTATAATGATTTTAGACAAATAGCTTAATCTAATAAAACATTTGTACTACATTTAATTCTAAGAGATTTAAGAGAGATTTGAAAATGTGATCAATAGCAGGGTTATATTAAAAGATCTCAAATGGTTTTAAAAGTGGAGAGAACTATTTTTGTACCTTGATATCAGAGACTGGAAAAGAGAATTGTAGTTTGATGCTTTAACTGGTTCTACAGATCCACAAATAGCTAGTACTTAACAGTAGCACAACCGAGAAAGTACTCCTTTTCTTCTTGAAGGAACTGTAACACAGAGACGTTGGTTCCTTTGAAAGTATAAGCTATCCTAAATACGCAGACTTGATTTAAATTGTGTTGTGTTATTGATTCATTAAGTGTAAGATGGCCTACTTCTACAAACGTCTCTGTGTGCAGACTGAAGTCAATACAGCTCCATTAGGGATTCAGAGTCAGATTCATCCCTGCACAGGGTAGGCAACAGCACAGGGATAGAGGAAAAGGGACTCGTGTCTCCCCTGTTCCAAAGGCAGTAGCTTATGTGGCCTTGGCCCAGGCTATAGAATCCCTGAAGGTTGAGCTAATATATGTCCTTGTTGCAGTGGTCAGGGTGCAGATATTCCCTGGCCATGTCTCCTCCCACCATCTACTGTCCCTCATTCCTGACTGGCTCTGCACTATCTTACACCTGCCCTGTAGCCCTGTGACGGGGTGACGATTCACCGCTGCAGTGCCTCCTGCTGGTTGGCCAGGGAATTAGCTCTTTTCAGCCAGGAGCGCCCTCTGCCAATCAGTGTCTCGCCTGTCGCTGGCCCTGTGCCCCTCCCAGACCCCGGTGCCCTTCTAGATTAGGGTTCTTCCCTCTGGCAGTACCCCTCAGTCTGGGTCTTTCCTCCCCAGGGGAACCCACAATCCCTCCCTTGCCTCAGTGGCTACTGTCAGTCATCCTCTAGCCCCCACTCCCTGGAGCAGACTCCAGTCTGCACCACTCATCAGCAGCAAGGGAAGTCGGACTAGCTGCCTCTGTCTAGGTCTGGGCTGCTCCTCTGCAGCCTTAGTACCCTTTTGTGGGCCTTTACCTCGGCCTGCAGCCTGGGGGTCTGCTAGGCTGGAGCTCCCCAGCTCCCTCGACCCTTCCCCAGCACTGCCCTGCCCTGTCCTGCCCTAGGTACCCTCCTCAGCTTCCCAGGCAGCCAGGTCCTCCTCTCTCCATGTAGCTAGAGAGAGTGTCTCTCTTTCAGCTCCTGGCTAGCAGCCCTCTTACAGGGCCAGCTGTGGCCTGATTGGGGCATGGCCCCACCTGTGGCTACTTCCCCCAATCAGCCTAGCTTTCCTCTGGCTACAGCCCTCTCTTAGGGCTGTTTTAAGCCCTTTGAGGCATGGCAGGGTGATGACCCTGCCACAAGCCCCTTTATACAGGGTGGTACCAGGGCAAGAGGAGGTCTTACCATTTCTCTTTTGCAAGGTAGAATCAGTTACCATTCATCATCCTTGCAATCCCAGCCCTACAGCTAAATGCCTACTCTGAAACTTTCCCCTTGAAAGCAGTAGTATTGAAATTCTCCACACCATAGCATAATCCTTTAGAGATTAAACTGTGGTCCTGAGAGGCTTTGTGGCTGGTCCACTGAGTGGTGGCTGGTCACATGGTACTGTTCCTGTTCATTTTCTGCTGTTAATTGCACTAAAACAAGTACAAAGTTTAAGAATCCCTGCTTGAGGGATTTCGGGTAAAGTCTTCAAGAGTGCATCAGTGACTTAGGTCCCACTGACTTTCAGTGAGAGAGTGGAGCTTCTATATATCTAAGACTTTTGAAAATAGGATTTGGCTACTACCTCTCTTAGGGATCTTTGAAAACATTACCCTTAATCTTGCCGTACTGCATGTTCAACATTTCCATTGAAGTTTATAGTAGTTTTAAGTCAACAAGGGCACTTGGTAGTAGGAAATTAGGAGTGAAATATAATAAGCAATAGACACAGTAGAAACCACTAATTGCAGTGTGGTTGTATTCAAACACCTGTGGCTGGCCCATGTCAGCTGACTCGGGCTGGAGCCCAAGCTCTGGGATCCCATGATGGGGGAGGGTCCCAGAGCTATAATCCAGCCTGAGGCCTAACATCACACTGCAACTGTATAGCCCCACAGTCCAAGTCCGGTGAGACTGTCAGCTGACACAGGCCAGCGGCAGGTGTTTAAATTGCAAGGTAGCCATACCCAGTGGGGTTGCAGGCTTTATAAAACCATAGAATTTTATTTTGGTTTCTGAGAAACTTTTGAGTTTCACCAAATGCTTTTTACCCTGACATAGCTAACTAATTTTCAAAGGAACTGTCATTTTCAAAATTCTAACTAAATGGAATCCTGTACTATGCAAGTGACAGATTCTGGGTGCCTTGTAATTCTTTCACTGCTTCTAGGACTATAATAACAGAAGAATGCGATTTTAAAAATGCAGCCTCCCAGAACTCATGGTCTGCCAGAGCCAAACAGAACTTGGACTTCAAAAACCAAATTTGTATTTGGCGTAAATTGCTGTAGGTCCATTCAAGTGAATGGAACTATGCAGATTTGCACAACTGCAAATCCAGCCTTCACAACGTTTTGATTCTCTTCGGAATCTAAAACCTATGGCTTTGGAAAAACCACCTCTCCCAGCCCTAATGAACAGAGTGTGTGCATCATTTTTAGTTGTGTTCCTCATACACTCTATTAGAACAGGACAAGAGCAATTAGCAATAGTCATAAAAAGTCACGTACCATAAATTGTTCGGCTAAGTGAATCAATATTCTTTTTTAAATAACATCATATCAGCTACACCACTATTAACAGCATACCTTTGTTGTCCTGCATGTTAAATGTACAGAATTATGTCCCTTAACAAACAGTCTTAGAAACCCTCATTCTTCTCTTCTCACTCAGTAATATCATTCATTTCTGTGTGAAAGTAATTAGAAGTTAGATATGCAAGGGTCCCAAACTGAAAGACTTGGATCAATCCTCTGTTTCAAGGACTAGTGAAAGCACCTTAAGCTATTGACATGGCTGTGAAATAAAAGCTCAGAATTATTCCTAGGTAAAGTGCTCCACTGATGAAATCATAATGACATTTCCTGTTTTAGGTTGTGCCCATTCAGTAGAGTCAAGGTGGTCACAGTGTTCTTGGCATTACTTTTCAGAGAAGTCATTCGTATGGCAGAGGAGCTGAGCAGATAACTGGTGGATCTCTCTTGATGAGATTTCCTCCTGCAGGAAAGCTGACTGTTGAAATGTCTCCTAAAACTCTCACTCAGAAAATACAGTGCAAATGGGTTGACGCAGGAGTTGCAGAAACTCAGTACTCGGGCCACTAAGGTAATGATCATATGTCCTAGTGATGGGTCGATCTCACTGTAATTAAAGGACCGGTACATGTACAATACATGGTTAGGGAACCAGCAGATGGCAAAAAAGCCAACAAAGACCAGAACAATTTTTGCCAGACGCTTTCGAGTTTCCATCTAAAATGATAAATCAACAGAACCCAAATTAACAACACAGAATAGAACTAATCCACATAACAGACTTAATTAATACATGTAACATTTCACTTAACATTAACTCTAACAATGAATTCAGATAAGATCGGTAAAATTACTTCCTTTAAGGGCTAAATTACTTTTGCTATCTCATTTGCTTTCATTTCTCATGTACAGTTCACTTTCATTAACCACTCCTTAGCTGCTTGCAGCTACACTAGATAAACTGGCCTTTATATATGGGTTTGTTAAATAGATAAGTACACCAAGATGGACTCATATTCCAAGTATATATTGGCTTTCAGCCACCACATAAGATGGTAGAATAGATTCCTTTGGAACATATCTCAACCCTTGGCTAATTTGAAAAAAAAATTGAAATTTGGAGACATTATTAGTCTGATGCATGGAGTGTTAGCTAAGCAACGGCACTTACATCCCATTATTTCCCGCTGGGGCTGAAATGCCACAGCTTGTACCATTCTCTTAGCAAATCCCCAGAACAGGTGCTCTTAGCACTCAGTGGCATCTCAGATGCAGACTGAGGTAAAGGGTCTGGTAAAGCATCCAAAGTGAGACTAGAGAAGCAGTTCCCAATTGCATTGCTGTAGAATAGTGGGAGTTGCAGGCCACCTGTTCCTCCGAAGCCATTTACAGGGCTAAATGTAGGGGAATATGGCCAACACACTGGTCCTCACAAAAAACAAGATGGAGGGAACAGGCCAGGTGGTCAACCCCTGAAGACAGTGAAGGTAGAAAGCCACTGTGTGTTCCCTCCACTGTAGGAAAAGCCAGGGCCTGCTGTGGGGAGGAGGGCTTATGCGGAGGATTCCTGCTTTCTGGCTCTATTTTTTACTAGAAAAACTCAAATGAATTTGGGGGTGTTGGTGGGTTGCAAAACTCTGTGAACTAAACCAGTAAGTATAGTTCACCAATACCCATCCAAACCCAAACCAGCAGGTTTCACACAGCCATAGAGAGCATGCTGTTTTCTATCTCTGCAAAGTTTGTGCCTTGAAGGGCACACACTCTAGGCCTCTGAATCTCTTCCTGCTTCTACTGGGCCTGATTTTCCATTGCCTTTCACCTTGTGCAACCATGTATACTTGTACAAAGTGAGTTGGAAATTGGCTATAAATGCTACCATTCCGATCGAATAGGATTTTACACCCATTTTGCACTCTATTCGCAGCTGTAAATTGCAAAGCTAGCAGAAAATATGAGATGTGTACGTTCCCCATCTGTTCTCTTTCTTAGAGAAACTCTGGTTGGAAGCAGGAATCTGAATCCTTTACCATTTATCAAGTGTTATGTACATAGGTCAGACTGTCCTCCCCCTTTTAATCTAATAGATAAACTCAACAAATAAGTAAAGCAAAAATGTGTTTTGTTTTTTAAAGAATCTCTGGCAGTTTCGGAAATGTGATGAAAATTAGCTTTACTTTCCATGAGGTCAAACAAATGGCTCTTTATATTTCACAGAGTAAGAAAATGGTCCGTGCAGTGCTGGTAAGTGTGTGTTTTTAAAAGGAAACAGGCTAGAATAGAAACAAAATGTTGAGTACAGAGGACACAAGGAATTTTTTTCATTATTCTGTTAAACATATTTTTAGATAGTAAATAGTTTCTCTCTTCTCAGGGGGTGAAAATGTAACAGTCTAAAATGTGGCAGCAAATACCCTACCTAATTCTTTTAATCAGCATTGGTCTTTTATTAAGCAATCTAAGCTGTCTGTAAAGTGGATGTAGGATTTTGAGGCAGTTTCCCTCAGAAAGATTTACTTTGTTGAACAGTAAAACTGTTGTGTCATTTCCATTGATGAGTAGGCTGCTGATATGGCTTGTTGATCTGTCACATTGATTTCAGTTGGCTGTTAATATGCTCTGTCTCAAAGACTTGTAGCATATTGTAATATAGAGGATGCAAAGAAGGATGGTACTACTAAATATGGATTGTGGAGAACCTCTGTACATTCAGCATTTCTATTCAGATGAATGCCTCCAAAATCTGACTGCTTATCCAAGCCACTTTGTTCTAGAAACAAGAAGAAATCCTTACATGGATTTTCAGCACTTCGTAGTTTCAACTAGACTAGAAGTCCTACAAGAACTGTCTTTTCTGTTGTATTTCAATACCTAGTTTCCAGGCACAAGGTTTTTTTACACCTTTGATGAATCTGGCCCTTTACAGTTTGTTTCCACAGATTACTCTGTAATGCACTGGATTTCTTTCAGCAAGAGATGAGTATATATAGGTCAGAAAACTACAACTGGTTGCCCCAGCAAATGCTGTTTCTTAACAAATACAAAAGTGATCGCTAAATCAACAACACATAGAAATACTCAAGTCACCAATACCATACATTAGTATAAATAGTAATTAATGTCATCAGTTGAATCGTTTCTGTTTCTTACTACAAAACTAAGACAGAAAAGAAATAAACACACTCTTCAGCTTGTTTTTCTTATCTAACAGAGTAAAAATACTCATTCCAAACTAGTCTTAGAACTGTTGTAAAATAAGATTTAACATAGGGAGATTTTTGAGATAATGGGCCCATGCCTATGAGAATTTTAATATAATCCTAGGCCTATACTATGTATTGTAACAAAGTTCCTCCTCTACCTTGGTGGGTCTTGCGCTTATTGACGGATTTGCTCGCCTTGGAGCTTCACGGCAGCCCTCAGTTTGGCCATTTTCGTGAACCCACAGTCCAGGTCAACTCCTCCTGTGTCTGACCAGGAGTTGGGAGGTTTGGGGGGAACCCGGGCCCACCCTCTACTCCGGGTTCCAGCCCGGGGTCCTGTGGAATGCAGCTGTCTAGAGTTCCTCCTGGAACAGCTGTGCGACAGCTGCACCTCCCTGGGCTACTTCCCCATGGCCTCCTCCCAATACCTTCTTTATCCTCACCATAGGACCTTCCTCCTAGTGTCTGATAATGCTTGTACTCCTCAGTCCTCCAACAGTATGTGTTCTCACTGTCAGCTCCTAGCACCTCTTGCTCCCAGCTCCTTACACATGTACCACAAACTGAAGTGAGCTCCTTTTTTAAACCCAGGTGCCCTGATTAGCCTGCCTTAATTGATTCTAGCAGCTTCTTGATTGGCTGCAGGTGTTCTAATCAGCCTGTCTGTCTTAATTGTCTCCAGAAGGTTCCTGATTGTTCTGCCTTCTGCTACTCTCCTGTAGCCATCCGGCCCGACCCTGTCACAGCATGTTACAGCTTTTGTGCTTTTATTTTAAAATGTGTACAGCAGACAAATCTTTCACTATACAAGTGCACTGCAAATAGCTTACCTGTCTTTTAGAATGCTCACTATATTCTCCAGGGATATTGTGTGCACTCTTAATTAAAGTCTTAGCAATATGATAGTAGTAGATACTAATGATGGTGAGAGGAATAAGGAAATATACTAAGAATATCAGCACAGAGTGGATCTTCGGATGCATGTCATCTGTCTGGGGATATGGTATGCATGCCCTGAAACTGACGTTATCTGTGCCATTGATGTGGGCCACTTCAGAGAAAACTGCTTCAGGAACTGCTAACATCATGGAGATTATCCAGATGGCAAAAGCTTTAAAACACGTCCACAGAACTGCATTTGATGTTTGGATGTCCATGGGATTTACAATTGCTTTGTACCTGGAGAGGGGCAAAAATAATTAATTAATTAATAATAAACATTCTATGTCTGATGCATAAAGGCAATACAAGCCTTTGATTAAAGTAACATGTAACACTTGAATTTTTCTGATGTGATGTGTCATAGATGTACATATAATCTATTTTACTACAGTATATTGTATTTATTAATGTATATTAAATATAATATTTAATAATTACATTTTTTCTGTGAAAACCACGTGTTGTATCAAGAAATTCAATTCTCTCTCTCTCTCTCTCTCTTTCATGACAGGACACTGAATTATTATAGCTGCAGCCACACCACCTGGGACTGTGGTCTTGTCAGCTCTCATCAGTTAAGTAGTGTTAGGCGTGAACCAGACGCTGCCAGAAATTGATGTTGGTGATTCAGTAGATGGTACACTGTCACCTGAGCCATCACTGAGTCAGTGTTAGAGGGTACTGTGCTGTTGGTGGTGTCCTCTTTAAACTGAGACATAAACCAAAGTTACTGATCACTTGTGGTAACAAAGAACCCCTGGCTTCTGTTCTGAAGAATAAGGGTGGTCAGGCTGCCCAGTGTGTCCTGTTTACTTAAATTCCCCAGGCATTTTCAAAGGGACACATTATTCTTCACTCCCTGTCCTAGGGCCCAATCCTGTGAGGTGCAGAGCACCCTGCCCGCCAACTGAAGTTAGTGGGAGTGGAACTCAGCACCTGCGAGGAGGCATTCAGCATATTGAAGAATCTGGCCCATTGTTTATATCTATGAAAAGACATGGAATAGGAAATGGTAAGTAACAGACTACAGATGAAATCAAACATAAATGATGTATTACAACATTAATGAAAAGCAATTATGCAGCTTCTCTATTTGTACAAAATTGGCACAGATGTAGATAATAGGACAATCTGAAATCTATGAGCTGATAGATTTCTATAAACAAATTTGGCTAGGTTTTATTAACATTTGGAAGTAAACCTAAGTAAGGAATGTTATTTATTTAAATTACCAAGGAAACCCATGTTCCCATTAACCTCTTTGATGAACCCAGCCCATTGTACATTGCCAGTTAGGTCATGTAGTTATTATAAATGAGTTTTCAGTTTTAATTAGAAGTCTTCCCTAAAAGTCTATATTCCTCCCTTTTCTAACATTACCACCAATGGCAAGGGTGCCTCATTGTAGGAAAAAGAAAAGGAGTACTTGTGGCACCTTAGAGACTAACCAATTTATTTGAGCATGAGCTTTCGTGAGCTACAGCTCACTTCATCAGATGTATACCGTGGAAACTGCAGCAGACTCCTTTTCTTTTTGCGAATACAGACTAACACGGCTGTTCCTCTGAAACCTGTCATTGTAGGAAATATTTTTATAATAAATTTTCTTTCTCTGGAGCTTGGGCATTCTGCTTATAAATACATTCACATGCTCACTTGAAGCTCCCACTGTGAATATCTGAACCTGCCTAGTGGGTATGTTACAGAGCTTCTTATTGTTGGCATGGAAGAAACTCCCTCTGTCATCCTCCCCCCCTAACCCCTTCCCTCAACACACAAACTAAATATCTTAGTGTTGGAATGAAAGAGTATCCTCTTCCTAAAGTATTTTTGTTGGAGGCACATGGTCTCAAACCCTAATATTGATTATATCATCTGTGACGATTATTTTAAAGAAACAGATATAATTGCCGCTTCAAGAGAAAAAAAGCCACTCAGGTGCTAGATACTATCATCTTCCATTGCACCTAATACTATGGGAAAGAGCTTTCTTGTGATTTGTTGCTTTTAAATAATAAAATACCATGAATCAGGACAATAATTTACTATAAATATTCGTTTTATGAATGAAACAGCAAAGTACCATTCTCAACATCTGTACTTCTGTGACTGCACTAATGTCATTCAAGGGACTGAGACCTAGGGTCTCTAAAGTATTTAGGCACTTAAATACCTTTGAGGACCTGGGGCTGGCTGAGCTCCCTCTGCTTGTGCTGTTTTCAGTATTGTATTCTTTCCTTCCTGCTTACAGAATATGCATGCATGGGAAGACATATAAAAGTTCAGATATTATCAAAATACGACTCTGGGTACCGAGAGTAAATCTGAGTGCTAAAATATGTTTCATTTCCTTCTGACTATTTTCCTTCTCCTCCCCCAACAACTTCATCATTCTCACTGAAGTTGATTGGGGAAAATAAATTTTTTAAAACAATGAACCAAATTCAGTGTTTGGATGTGCATATAGGGCTCCCATGAATCCAAGTGCAAAATTTAGCCTGGTGTTCAGTCCTTTTCCAGTGCTATGAAAGTATGGGAGATTATCAAAAAGTGTCTGCATGAAATGATTGAAATTTGGAAGGGTCACCATGTGTTAATGCCATATTTGCTCTATGAATCCTCATGGAGAAGTTTAGAGAAAAGAGACAGCAACTGAATGAGGTCTTTATGGACTTGGAGATGGTTTATGATCATGTACCACAAGAATTAGTTTGGCAGACTTTGGGACAGAAAGATGTGCTGGAAGGATATGTCCTTCTTATCTAGGATATGTATGATGGAGTGACTACCACAGTCAAAACCAAACATGGCTACAACTGAGAATTTCCAGTAAATGTTGGCCTGCGCCAAGGTCAGCATTGAGACCTTTTTTGTTTTTGTTGTCTTGGATGTGGTAAGTGAGAATATACGAAGGGAGTCACCTTGGAATATGCTGTTTGCTGATGACTTTGTGATCTATGCAGAAGACTGTGAGATCCTGCAACCAACTTTCAACAGTGGCAACACAGTTTACAGTGAATGTTGGTAGGACTGAGGCTGTGACAATTGATGGAGGAGGACCTGCCATAAAGGATATTACAAGCAAAGAACTTAAAGTGAAATAATTTAAATACCTTGGATCAATGGTTGCTGACAATGGTACCTTCCTGAGCGATGCCTGAGATCATACCAAAGCTGCTTGGTGCAAATGGTGAGCGATGCCCCCAGTTTTTTGTGATAAAAAGATACCAACAAAGTTAAAAGCTAGAGTGTACAGAACTACAATTCAACCCGTCCTAATATATGGAACCGAGACTTGGCCAGCAACAAGAAAAGAAATCAGTATGCTCTCCCCCATGGAAATAAAGATGTTGAGATGGTCAGTTCCATGATAGAAAATGAAATGAGGTTGTGAGAGGCCTAATGCAGGTTGCCCCAACTGAAGACAAGTTGAGGAAGGTGAAGCTACGTTGGTATGGATGTGTCCAGTGGAGACCTCAGAGTTATGTTGGTAGGATGGCCTTTGCGATGATTATGGATGGAAGATGATCAAGGGGGTGGCCAAAGACTCAGAACATGGACTGGATATCAGCAGAACTTAGAACAATTTTCATGACAGCCAGGAGTATAATCATGAGTTTTGGAAGAAGGCTTTAAAAGTTGCCAAACTGGAATAGGGAAGTAGCAAGAAAAAAGAAAAAGAAGTCTCTAGTCCTTACAGCTATACCACCACTACAGGCATCAGACTCCCTGTGCTACTCTGCACTGTACTGAGTCCACTTCCTGCCACATACACTGTACCCTGAAATGAAGCACGTCTAAATGCCTTTTGGGTATAGCTTCAGCAGCTGGACTAGGTTTTTCTCTTACAAAGCCATTAGAGCCACCACTTTCAGGCAGCTTGTCAGCCATCAGGTAAAGCGGGTTTCAAGGTAACAGCCACAATGACAAAACAGAAATATCACTTTTGCTTTTCTGCAAATTTGGGGTGTTTCTTTCCTTGTCTGTTTGCCACCAATGAGATCTGTTTCATGGGCCTGCAGCACTAACAAGCAGCCTTGTCCAAAACATGCCAGATTTTCTCAGTACTTCTAACACTGAGATGACTCATTTGCTTAGGCCCTGATCCTGCACCTTTGAAGTCAGGGGGTGTTTTACTGTGCAGGATTAGGGCCTTAAAACTACACCATGTAATCTGCATGGAAATCAATTGAAACGAGGACCAACAAAGTAGTCAAAGGCGGGTGATCCTCACATCAGGAAGATCTAGTCCAATCTTTGAGCAGGGGATTGGACTAGATGACCTCCTGAGGTCTCTTCCAACCCTAATATTCTATGATTCTATGATCAGAAACATCCATTTCAGCGTTATGTTCTAGAGACAAGCTCCATCCACACAAACTGTTCGACAGCAATCTGAGAAGTGTAATGAAAACCATTTGTCTGTACCTTACAAAAGAAAATCCCTTCCATTTCTTAACAAAGAACCATAATTAATATTGTCAAGGAATATGGAACTACAGGGATTTCCTTTACTTTTATTAACAATGCTGTTGACCATATAAATAAACTCCTGTAGTAATGCCAAACAATTAAGTGCAATGTCCTGTGTAAATGAGATGTATATGCTCTCACCCCTTACATATAGACAGTGCTAACACACCATATTCTTAGCAGATGTAAATAAGCATGACTTCATTTGTTGTTTGCAGTTGTGTTGTAGCCATGTTGGTTCCAGGATTCTAGATACAGTGTGTGAGGTAATATCTTTTATTGGACCAACTTCTGTTGGTAAAAGACAAGCTTGGAAGATATCACCTCACCCCCCTTTGTCTCCATAATTTCATTGACATCACTGGGGCTATGCCTCTTTATACCAGCTGAAGATCTGGCCCAAATTGAGGTGTTATTAACTGATCTCTTTCTATAAAGGCAAGCACCGATACTGACCTGCAGTTATAGAGACAGCTGGATCCGCCAGTTATGAAAAGAGTGAATGTTTTTTTCAATTTGAAGGCGTTTGTAAAAACATAGATGATGCAAAAGTTATATCTGATTACATTGCATTCCTGCTGTTTTTGAAACGATTGAAACACAGATTATGTTTATCTGAGAATTTCAGAGACGTTAATGTTGCCAGCTACTGACTCGAAAAGAAAAGGTGTTGATCACTGAGATGTAATTTAAAGCTGATTATTGAAATTGTCATATTACTGTGATTTTTATTGGGCTATGTTTTAAGGCTATTGGGGAAGTTT